TGCTGTTTTATCCCAAACCAAAGTACCAATAACTTTCATATCGTCTAATGTCCAGTCCATGCTCGAATTTCCCTCGTACTCTCAAAATGCCTTTTTTCAACAATTTTTTTAAAGCTTATTCATTTTGAGAGAGAGCCCACAAGCCTGAGTGAGGGAGGGGCGGAGAGCGAGGGAGAGAGAGCATCCCAAGCAGGCTCCGTGTTGTCAGCACAGAGCCGGATGTGGGACTTGAACTCACAAACCGTGAGATCACGACCTGAGTCAAAATCAAGAGTTGAACGCTTGACCGACTGAGCCACCCAGGCGCCCCTCTCACAATGCCTTTCAACGGTTTACTGATTTGAATTCGGGATCAGGATAGAAAGGACGTACACATGCATTGCATTTGGTTGTTGTCTCTTAAGACTTCGAATAAATAATAGTGTCTCCCCTTTGTATGCTTCCCCCAGATCCATTGTTTTATTAGGGGCTGCAAAGCAGCGATTTCTTCACTCTACCATTCCTTCTGAATTTAATTTCTAGGATGCTTCAGTAAAGAAGAACTTGCCTTTGCCAATTATTTATAGTTACCTGAAATATACTTCACTCCGACAAAAATAGCGTAAATATCGATGATTATTTCCCTTTCTCCATCAATGATCAGACTAACGAGTCGGTGCCCTAGCAATGCCCCGTGGTGACAAATTAGATGCCGTATAATATCCTACGGAACTCATGAATTTTTGTATATTTGATTTGTTTTGATCAAGTTGAGGCGCTGCATAAAGCATCCCACTTTTGGCCAGCGGAAGCCTCTTCCTATTGATTCCTGAACCGTTGGACAGGGTTTCGGTGATCTTTGGAGGCTCCCAACCTTCTGGACCTTTGAGACAATCCTAGGCTCACCCTGTGCATTTCTTGGCCCAGCCCTGGAATCGGCCATCTCTTCAAGAATCCCTGATCCTCTAATAAGTAGTAAATGGTATCTGGAGGCCACAGGCTGGGCCCCAGGACAGTCTCCACTATCAGGTTATCACCTGCTCCCAGGCTTTTCACCTGCCAGAGCCGGGAAATACGGCTGATCCTTGAACAACACGGGTTTGAACCACACGGGTCCACTTAAACTCCATTGGAGTCTTTCCAATACATACGGTGCAGGACTGCAAGTATATTTTCTCTCCCTTATGATCTTCTTAGTAACACATTCTTTCCTGGAGCTTACTGTATCCTAAGAATACAGGATATAATACGTATAACGTACAAAACATGTGTGAATCAGCTGTTTATGTTCCCCGTGAGGCTTCTGGTCAACAGTAGGCTATTCGTAGTGAAGTTTTAGGGGAGTCAGAAGTTATATGTGGGTTTTCGACAGCCTGGGGAGAGGGGGTCAGCGCCCCTAAACCCCACATTATTCACAGGTCCACTGTACATATTTAGTTAGAGAAAGAAAAATAATTAATTGGTACCAACTGAGACTTCCAATTCAAGCTGTCACCAACTTGAGGACCGTTGTGTTCATTTGCCACAGTTTATCCTCCATGCGGGGGGACGTCTTTTCGGGTGAGGGATTCTGTGGAACATGTACATGGTTGCAAAGCCACACAAGAGAACAAGAAAAAATGTCGCTTCTGACCCTGCCTTTCCCTATTAGTAACTGTGCTCGTTAGTTTTGAGTTTCTTCTTCCACGGATGCTTAGTAAAAGTAGGCATATATAAAAGCAGCAAGCTACAAATACTGTTCTGTGTTCTGTTCTACCCTGTCTTTTTTTTTTTTTAAACAAACAATATACCCTTGAGATTTCACCCATCCCTTTCTTTTTTCCATCTGCATTATACCCCATTGTGCGGCCACCTTGCAGCTCGTATCCACGCTCCCCTTGACCGTCACTTTGGGAGTGCTGCTAATTTTTTGCTTTTGCAAATAGTGCATGTAGCTTATGAGTACATCTTCCTTAAAAAAACAAAATCACGGGCCCCAAGGGCATCACGTAGGCCAAGTCCCCAGTGGAGGCTTAACACATAATCTCACTGCAGTTTCAACCTCCCCCAGAAATGTGGTCTTAACCGGTCAGTCAGGAATTCTCTGATGGGCCCTCTGGATCCCCTAAAGGAAAGTAAGGTGATCTTCATGATAAGACCCCTTAGTTTCCCCTCGAGGGAAAGCAGGCTTGCCTCGCACAATCTTTTTCTTTTGCTGGTAATTTTCTCGCCCCACCTGACTTGTAGGAAAAGTCTCCATTTCATACAGCTCCTCAGGGGCTCCCCTCTCTTTGCTTAGACAGGACGCTGCCCGATCCATGAATTATATAGCCAATTAGATCTTTAAATTTTACTCGGTTGAATTAACAGTTTGAAAAAGCCTGTAAAAGGCTTTTTGCCAATGTATCTTTGGGTGAGAGTCCTAGAAGTAGAATCGCTACATTAAAAAGGGGCATGTGTCGGGGCGCCTGGGGGGCTCAGTAGGTAAAGCGCCCCACTTCGGCTCAGGTCACGATCTCACGATCTCACGGTTCGTCGGTTCGAGCTCCGCTTCGGGCTCTGTGCTGACAGCTCGGAGCCTGGAGCCTGCTTTGGATTCTGTGTCTCCCTCTCTCTCTCAAAATTAAATAAACATTTTAAAAATTTTTTTAAATTAAAAAGGGGCCCCCGCTCCATCTACTATCCAAGCCTGGGGACCAGGCCAGCATCCCACTGTTCTACTCAAGGGTCAGTCCTGGACAGATCTCACAGAGGAACCAACACCAGCGTCCTGGCAGTCCTACAGGAGCTGGAAAATTCCATTCCCTTCTCTTTGGCTGGAATAACACCAGTTTAATTGGGCAGCCCTGTTCATCTCAAGCTAAGCAGAAGCTTTTTTTTTTTTTTTTTTTTTTTTTTTTTTTTTTTTTTTTTTTTTTTTTTGCTTTCTTTGATTGACAAACTTAAAACTTAATTATTCCTTTGTGTGTTGGCTTGGCAGACAAAATGTTTCAAGGCATGAATCCTCTTGGGAAATTAAGTCACGTGCTCAGCAAACAGAGGTTACTGGTAAGTTTGTTGGCTCATCTGACCCTGGTGGTCCTTCTTTACAAATGCTAGGTATTCCAAAAGATATAAAAATGCTGATTGGGAGGGACGCACGCACCCCAATGTTTATAGCCGCTCTATCAACAATATCCAAGGTATAGAAAGAGCCCAAGTGTCCGTTGACTGATGAAGGGATTAAAAGATGTGATACAATGGAATACTACTCAGCGATCAAAAAGAATAAAATCTTGCCATTTGCAACAACATGGATGGAACCGGACTGTATTATACTAAGTGAATTAAGTCAGAGAAAGACAGATGTCATATGATTTCACCCATATGTGGAATTTAAGAAACTCAACAGATAAACACAGGGGAAGGGAAGGAAAAATAAGATAAAAACAGAGAGGGGGGCCAACCATAAGAGACTCTTAAAGACAGAGAACCAACTGAGGGTTGCTGGAGGGGCAGTGAGTGGGGGGTGGGCTAAATGGGTGATGGGCACTAAGGAGGGCCCCTGTTGGGATGAGCACTGGGTGCATGGAAGTGATGAATCCCTGGGTTCTGCTCCTGAAACCGATACTACACGGTATGTTAACTAACTTGAATTTAAATACATCAATTTTTGAAAAGGCAAAGACAACTAATATGGCGAGGATGCATTCAGTCTCTTATTCGTTCAACCAACGTGAACTGAACACCCCTTCAGTCTGTGCTCTCCTCCCACCGCTTGGCTAGAAATAAAAACCTGTGCAGCCCACAGCCCACAGTTGCTTGAGGCTTGTCTCACACTATGTTTGCGGGTCGTTTTGTTTTTAAGAAAATAGTTGCTCACATTTGAAAGTAAGGATTTCACATAAATATCCAGGCTTCTGACCTCTCTTGAAAACTTGGCCAGGCTGGCATCATCAGCCAGAAGTGGCAGCTGCTGGTTGGAACGGGGTAGAGGCTGCCCCCTTGTGGTGGGGCAGGGGATGCCCCGTCCAGCCCTTCCATTCGTTTCCCTCACCTCCTGGATCTTGAGCGTGTGAGCCCTGCCCTAGATGGCAAGCTTCCTGAACACAAGGACCACTTGTGTCTTATTTGACTCTTTCTAGCATCCAGCCCAGACCCCAGCACACGGTGGGCCCTCAATAAATGTTTGTTTATGAATAAGATCTCTTTTGGATGCACACATCACATTTCTCCTAATATTAAAATGGTGCAGGGGCGCCTGGGTGGCTCAGTCGGTTGAGCGTCTGACTTCGGCTCAGGTCATGATCTCGTGGTTCCTGAGTTCAAGCCCCGAGTCAGGCTCTAGGCTCACAGCTCAGAGCCTGGAGCCTCCTTCAGATTCTGTGTCTCCCACTCTCTCTGCCTCTCCCCCGCTCATGCTCTGTCTCTCTCTCTCTCAATCTCTCTCTCAAAAATAAATAAACATTAAAAAAAATTTTTTTTTAATGGTGCAATCATACTATTGCTCTAGCCTAATCTCTGGAACAGAGAGACATCGTAAGTGCCCTTGGTCTGTGCCATCCCATCACCTCAAGTCACTTGTATGCAGTGTGCTGTCCCTCAGTGTCTTCACTGTACATTTGACCCCCTAGCAATCTCCTCTCCAAATGAGGCTCCCAGTGCATGTATCTCCAGGACCCTTGGGGGAACTGCAGAAATCAGAAAAGTCAAGCATAACACCTGGCACTTGTTTTTATCACATTATTAGCAGCACCTTTATCTCCAAGACAGCAAAAGTCCCCGCTCTTCGTTAGATCTTGTGGTTTGGACTTTTTGTTTTTTGTTTTTTTGTTTTTCCAGCCAAGCCCCAAGGAAGAGATTACACCAGAAATCTATGTATTCTGTGAATTTTCTAAATCCCCTCTTCACAAACACTGATGGGCTAAAGATCTTATCGGGGAGGTTTGTATTTCTTATCAGGTCCACTTAGCAGCCCTCAAGGGGACAACTAGGACAGGTCAGAGCACATATAGCAAACAACTTTTGCCGGCCACTGCATGCTCAGAACCCGAGGAGAAAGCATGAAGTGGTTTTGGGTCCTTGGGCTGGTGGCCCTCTCAGAGTGCTTAGTCACGTAAGTACAGGGACTGCAGGTGGCATCAGCTCTCTTTCTGGGCTCTTTCTTGCCGTCTTATTCTCCTGCCCATCCATGGGTAGAGAAGAGAATCTAATCATTCCCAGACTGTCTTAAAGTTCAAGTCTCCCTTTATTGATCAGTAGCTTACCATGTGCACTTTGGGGCCCCGGGTGTCTTGGGGCAGGCCTGCAGGGTTGTACCGCTCCAGGGGTGCCAGTCACACGAGCTATGTGAAAAGGTGCTCCTTGGAATTGCTCAGTGTACAACCTGTGCAACCGCAGGCATGGTTCTGTCTAGGAACAGCATTTCTCCTGCATTTGTTTCTGGGTCTCTTCTCTGCCCTCTCTCCATTTCCACATGTCTATGTCTCTGTTATTCGTCTCTGTCTCTTTGGACGTCTCTGTGAATGCAAAACACTGTATTTTTTTCCATTTTGAGTCTTTCTTGTTTCTCTACCCTCTTCATTTCCCTAATTTATTCCCCACCTCCTCACTTCCTCTGTAACCCCTGTCTTCTGGCTGAGCCCCGGAAAAAGATCAAGGGGGCTACCTGTAGGCCCAGGTTTGCCTCTAACAAGCAGTGTGACCGCAGGCGAGTCGCACACTCCCTGTAAAAAGATGACGACGATTTCTGCTCCACCTCCTTCCCGGAGCTTCTTTGACAAAGACACAGTAAGGTGACAGTAGCAGCAGGGATGGCTGCCACTGTCGAGGCCTCCTACCAGTCAGGTGCATCCTAGCCATCCTTTTGCTTAACGCCCAAACATGCTACGTGACAGGGGGGGGGATTATTGTCATTCCACCTTTTTGCAGGTGGAAAAGTGAGGCACAGAACGGCCATATGGCTTACCCCAGATTACACAACAGAACCTGTATCCAAACCTAAGTTTATCGCCTCGGTCTTTCCATCGTGTTTGGG